ACCTAAACTCACCATCACATTACCTTGCTCTGGTTCTCTGCATCGTACTTGTCACAACCAATAGGTGCAATCAGTCTGTCTTTTGCCCTTACTGGAGATGAAAACCCCAAAAGATCGGGGCTCTGCCTACTGCAAAGTTATCACTTACATCTAGAATGGTTTTGATACTGGAGGTTCTTTTTTAATGATTGAACACTTTGCCCTGATTGGCTGTTAATCAAACAGGCTTGCTCTTTTGGCCTGATCCCTTCTCACTAGCATATGTTAACACATTTTGGAAACTCTTCAAAGACTGCTGAAAAGAGTCTTGTGTATTTTGCATAGTTCTCTCTGATTAGATGGGCTCTTTAGTCATTTGCCATGTACTGTCTGAGTATCTGCTTTATATATAAAGAGTAGGACGTTTATTTCCTTTCCTCAGGAATCATTTTCATCCCCTTGGAGGTAATGGTCACTCATTGAAATTGCAGGGCAGGACGTAGAGGTTAGCTCAAAGCGGTAGAGCACCTGCTGGCAAGTGCGAAGGCCTGAGTTTAAATCCCAGTACCCCAAAAAAAATTATTTTAAAAAAGAAAGTGAAGGGCAAGCTAGCTCACACTTTCTTGCTCTCTTGTCTCCCATTGATGGGTTCTCTCCGAAACCATCTCTCCTAAGAGCCACGGAGGGGAGACTGTCATGCTGTGGGAAGAGAAGTAGCAGGAGACAAGGGAATAAGGTGGTACCTTATAGACTTGGATGTACAGATGGAAGACACCTCTTGGTGGCCACAGCAAGGACCTCAGCCATCAAGTCCTCTCAGAAGATGAGACTGCAGCTCGTGGAGCTGAAAGTCAGCACTGTGGACCCAGCATTTGGCCAGGCCAGACTATTGGGGGTCTGTGGGCAGGAAAATTGGTGGGGGGGATGGCTCCGATTCTTGGCAGTTCAAGCTGGAGCAGAGACAAGAGCAGGAAGAAAGAGTTGGAAAAGGGATTGAGTGCTAGAGGCACAGCAATTACCCCTGTCTTATACCTGTAACCTCTCGCTTCTTTCAGCTTTGCCCGGCTTTCTCTATCTTAACTGCAGCTCCTGGCTTCCAGCTGTCATTTCTCCCCCTCCTCCTCCTATGCATTCACAGCAGGCCTTGGGCTAGCTCCATGCAGGCCTCAATGTCTTCAATTCTTCTGAGGAACTGCACTTCTACCAACTTCTCCAGCCTCTGCTTCCCCTGCCAGTCCCATCAATGTTTGCAAGATCCAATCCCCTACTTCCTTCATCCCACACTCCTGTGCAAAAATCTCAGCCTTTATCTTTCTACTGGACTCTTTGCACAAAGGACTGAGTTTCCAGTTTCTCAGCTGCCTGTAAGACGATTTACATTTCTTCCCATTAACTCAAAATTGTCAAGCCAGACCTACCTGGGCATCTTTTCCTTCTTATTTGTTCAATGTGTGAAGATGTCTTGCCCGACTCTCCTTTTTCCTCTCTCCTTGAACACAGGCCAGTAGAATTCCCCTCTAGACTCATCCATCTTTTTCTCCATCCCAACAATTACTCCTGCATGGGAGCCCATCACCTCCAAGCTTTAGCATACAACCCTAGTCCCAACATTCAGTTTCTCCTTTCTTTAATGCATCCTAAACACATTTGTCTGTCTAAGGTGGCTACAGCATCTTTCACCACAGCCTTCCCTATGCTCCTACTTAGCTTACCTAACACTGGCTCAACTCATCTTACATTATTCCTTCATACCCAGTCTAAGAATCTACTGACTTCTCTCCCCAGCCTCTCTGCCCAAGCCATCTCTCTCTGGGAATAGGTTCTTCCTTCCCTCCTGCTTGTCTAAGTCCTGCTGCTCCTCCAAGGGTCCCTCCCACATTGTCTCTGTCCTCAGCACTAGCATTTTCACAAACTTGCCCAGTCTATCTCTCTGGTGAGGCTGCAAAATCCCTGGAAATCAAAGACTTTGCCCATTTCCTCCTTGAATGCCTCCCCCAATGCACGATGCCTTTGCAGAGAGTAGGTGCTCAATGAACTTGGATGGGAGTGGGGACTGACTGAGAAGGTCAACCACTGTGGAACAGAAATCCTAGGACCTCTCACCTGGATGGCCATGGGTAGAAGGTGCCCATCAGATTGCAGTTTCAGCATGACCAGAGGGGCAGCCAGGTACTGCTGCCTAAAAAGGATGACATTGGCCTTGATCCCATCCAGCAGGGAGAAGTCAGCTTCAAACAGTGTGCCTCCCTAAAGAGGAAGAAGGAAAAAGCTTATGTCAGCATAAGGCATCTTCCCACCTGATTCTCCAAAGGGAGAAGGGAGAAAAGGAACTAACTTGTCTCCATCACCTACTTTATACTAGGTAGTGGATTACATGCTCAGAAGGTTCTTATACACTCTATTTGAATTGGCCCCAGTTTCCAGAAGAGGAAACAGATGGTCAGAGAGCTTGGAGTATCTTGCCTAAGGATATATAGCTTACAATAGCAGAGCTGGGATTCAAATCCTAGTCTGCCCAATTCTATAATCCCTTAAATTTTTTCTATTAAGGTCACAGGTTGATTCCTGATTAACAATACCACTCTTCTGACCCTTATTCTCTTATTCCACACCCTTCCTGAATCCATGGCACCAAGACCCAGTCACATTTCCTCATTTTTATTGTGTCTCTATCAAGCATCCCACCACAGACAACCACACACACACATAAACACACACACACACACACACACAATATGCTGTGTTCACGTGGGGCAGAAAATCATGGGGGCTATATTTCTGAATAGGATTTCTCCTGTAGAAATATTTCTTGCTAACCAGCAGCAAACTGGGCCCACGGGGACACTACAGTTGACACTAACACCACCTCCATTTCACTTTTGGGTTCCAACATCCATACCTGGAGCTCCTTTTCCAGCTGGGCCTGCAGCTCCTCCATCCCTGGAGGGAACACTAGGTGAGCAGGGAGGCAAGCAGAGTGTCTCAGTAGCATGGGGTTGGCGCCATTCAGAAACTGGTACCCAAAAAATGGGTCCTCCTTCCAGGAGTCCCAAACCCTCTCTGGGGATGGCAGTTGACTGTGCTATTGGATCTGAGTTCCTGGTCCCTCCAATCCCCAACAAACCATCCCCACTTGACCCCATCCTGCCAGAGAGACCCAAGCTTCAGTCTCCCAAACCTGGTTCTTCCAATTTCCCTGCATTGGGTAGGAATTGAGGTTAGGGAGGGAGGTAAGGGTCCTTGGAGAAGTATTAGGGAGTGGAAACTGACCAGCCAGCTTGCTGTGGCCACACTTGAAAATGCACTTGAAGTCATCAGGATCATTCCATCAACTCATAATATTTATAGGTATTTTCACAGCAAAGTTTGCCAGCCTCTGGAAAAAAATGAAACAAGAGATTGACACTTATTCTTGCAATCTAACATCACAACCACCAGCAACTCCCTTGGACTGGTCAAAACCACTACAGTCCACAGGTCCAATGGCTTCCACAAGACTAGGAATCCCCCATCTACCCTTCCCTCTACCCAGTTCTCACCCCACAATCAATGAAGTGTCGAAGTTAATTTGCTTGTCCTCCAGAAATCGCTCATCTACAGGGGTCAGATAAATTGACCCAGCTACATTCAGATTAAGCCATCCTTCCAATTACCCCACCAGGAGAGGGGGAGAAATGAAATCAGGCATTTGTGTCCACAAAGGACCAACAGTTCTATGTAGGGTCACCTTGGGGCAGGGGAGGAGGACTAACCAGTATAGCTTCTTTCTCTCCTTCAGCTCCTCTTCCCTGTGTTTCTTGAACAATCCTTGAGTGTCCTCAACCACCGTGCATCCTGGAAGTGTGGAGGATGACATGGTGGGACTCCTGCTGATGGCCTCTTCCCTGTCCTTGCCAGGTGTGCCTCCTCAGCCAGTCCTTCTGGCTGGCCCTGTCCCTGCCTCCAGGACACCTGTGCCAGCTCTGGCAATCCTCTTTTTGGAGGAAGGAAAGGGCTAGGGAAGTGCATTGTTTATTATTGTTGGTGTTACCTTATATTTGCCTTTTATTTCCTGGAATGAACGGACTCAGAAAGATCAAAGTGCAAATTCCAAGCAGCTATTTTATTGGCTGCTGTTATAATCCTAAATCAATGGTAGAGTTTACTATAAATAAATACAATCTCTTTGACTTCAAGTTCCTTAGAGTAACTTGATGCTTAAAAATAGTTTTCACACTGCTGGTGCCAGTAACTCACACCTGTAATCCTAGCTATTTGGGAGTCTGAAATCAGGAGATTACAATTTGGGCCAGCCTGGCAAATAGTTTGTGACTCCTCATCTCCAAAATAATTGAGGTGTGGCTCAAGTGGCAGAGCACCTGCTTTGCAAGCTCAAAGCCCTAAGTTCAAACCGCAGGCCCATCCAAAAAAAAATAGTTTCATACTAAAGAAAAAAGAAAAAGGAGAAGGATTAGCCTAAACCAACCTCTCTGAAGAAACAGCCAGGCAACAGGACAACTTACAGGGACAGTTCCTAATATAGTTTCTGCAAGTTACAGGATGTGGTTTTTTCAGATTTGATATGCCACAGGAAAGGCACCGATAGCAGTTGTGTTTCTGCAATTTACTACAGCAGCCCTCTTCTTTGACAACTCCCAAAGACTCCCTGCCCTCAAGGTCCTGACTGTATGCTCTGCACCTGCTTCCTCATACCAACACCCCTGAGCTTCTCTTTAGGCTACACACACTCGTGCACACGCACACACCCTCGCACACACTCATGCACACACACGCCTCCACTCACCAGTGCCTTCAGGAAGGCTCAGGATGCCTTTGCCCTGCACCCAGCAGTAACAAGGGAACCTGTACTCGGCCCCTCCATTCCCAGGGCCCTGCACAGAGATCCAGTTGCAGAACCAGGCATCATCCTGAAGTGCCATTTTTGCAGTTTGACAAACAGCAGTGGCCCAAGGTACTCTGACACATCCACCGTGAATTCCTCCACCTGTAGGCGACAGAAGTCTCAGTATGGGTGGTGCCTTCTGGGAAGGATACTCTGGCTGAGTCCTGCTCGACTTGGACATCAAAAAGTAGCAAGAAGGAAGCCAGAAAGAGAAAAGGAGCACACATGGGGCATGACCCCACTCTGGGTCCTCAAATACCTTAACCCTGACTGAGAGGGAAGGAATGAGAAGATGGAAGGGAGCATTCCTTCCTTCATTTTTTCCTCGCTATATTCATTATGCCAAGCTCCCAGCCAGGCACTAGGAACCCTGCACCAGGGCACCAGCCAACACAGAGTTGAGCTGGGAAACACTATATTGGCCACTGTGTTGCCCACCTAGGCTGAGGGCCAACAGAGACCTCATCCCTGGAGCAGGCTTCTGGAAGGACTTTCCGTTCATTCAAGCAGAGACTAGAGGAGAGAGTAAGAAAAGGGCATGCCAGGCAGAGGCCATGGAGAGAGCAGTGGTCAGAGAAGGGAGCAGCCACATAGAGCTGGAAACCAGAGGTCAGGTCTGGGGAGACAACACGATGGGGTCCTGAGAGTCACAGAAGTCAAACCAAGGGCTTTGGATTTGGTGTTGAGAAGGAGTAGGAACCATTCAAATGTTTTATTCAGGCACAATATTCAGAGGGTAGGAATGTACTGGGGAGAAATCGCAGGGCTTCAGAAGGGTCTGGAGCAGAGGTAGCGACCCAGTTAAGAAGGTCAAGGGGACGTGGGAGGTGGGGAGACAAACACCAGAGAAGTTCAGGAAACAGAACTGACTGAGCTCGCTCCATTCTTGGTCAGATGGAAGTGAGGAGAGGGAGGGGGCGCCAGTGACCCCAGGGGAAGACAAAAGAGGCCTGGGAGGAGGCAAGAGGGGAGCCCCCGGTTCCCACATGCGCCTTCGAAGCGTCCAAGTGTCCGTGGCACAAGCATCAGGACCTGCGGATCGGGGAGAGGATGGGAATTTGGGAGTCAGCAGCAGCAGGAAAAAAAGAGAAAAAAAAATATATCAGGACAGGAAAGAACACCGGGTAGATGTGAGCAGAAAGACGTGGGTCCAGGAATTGAGAGTTCTCAGTTCCTTCCCTCCTCCCTCCTTCCCTAATCTTACTGCCCACTCCAGGTGACAAAGCCCCCAAGCGTCTGTAAAGGAGATTGGAAATAGCAACTCTTAAAAATAGAGGAATCGGGACAGGCGGCCGCTGCAAGGACCGCTGAGATTGGAGACTCTGTGGAATGAGGGCGCACGGGAATATTCCCTAAATTCCACGGCGGCAGGAAGTTAGTGAGCGCTTACTGTATGCCACCAACTGCCCTCAAGCGCTTTACCGTGCAGTCACCGTGCGCTCTCAGCTGGGAATGAGGGGCCAGACGCCTGCTGGGCACGTCTCCTCCCCGGAATTTGATGGCTGGACAGCAGGGACGCCGCACAACGCACCCGGCTCCCCTTAGCTCACCTTGTCCCGGGAGGGTCGTAGCAGCGCCCCGAGCGCCGCCTCCCCATGCTGGCCGACCAGCCACAGCTGCACCAGATTGTTGGAGCCCGCGTACAAGGAAACCCCGGTGGAGACCGGATGCGGTAGACACCCATCTCGCTCAAAGACCTTTTCACGCCTCTGACAGTGAGGAGTTGTGGACAAGCTAAATGGAGAGCCCGAGACCCCGCCCTCTTGTGGGTGTCGGGGGTTTTGATGGCACAGTACCAATACTGCCTTGCAATGCTCAGGGGCCCCAGCTCCTGGATCTTGGCTCAGCCCCACCCTAGAAAGGCGGAGCCCTGGCGGAGGCAGAACTGACAACCATTATGGTGGGAGAGGACAGAAGGAGGAACCAGATTAGGATTTGGGCAGAAAACAAGCAAAAAAGCAATCAACATATAGCCCAGCAAAACCAGATCGAGTGAGAAGAGTGCGCTCCTGGGACTGACTCTGGAGCAAGTGAGATGACTGGGAAGTCCCCAGCCCCATTTCACACACACACACACACACACACACACACACACACACACACGTTGTTGGTTCATCCATGTCAAAGGACAAGATAAGGTTGCGAAGTGTGCGAGGAGACACCATCTTCTGCACCATTTGAAGAAGGTACATTTGGGCCACCAAATTAATTCGACCAACTTTGCACACTTTGCCTGCCCTATGTCAGGCATTTGGCTCATTCCTTTGGCTCCTAAAAGCATCTACTTTCCTGTTGCCTGCAGGACAAAAGCCCAAACTTCTTGGCCTTCAAAGCCCTTGCTAACCAGACCTACCCCCTTTCCCCCCATTCCACCGCATCCCTTCCTCATCTCCCATGGCTTCGTTTGGCGCTAGAGCCATTTGTTCCCCAGAACCCACCATGCTGTTCACTGGAAGAACTTGTCTCCAGAAAATTCACTCATCCTTCTGAATCCTGATTAAACTCCAGTTTTTCAGTGACGTCTAACTTGGCGATGCCATCCTTCTCACCTCACCAAGCTAATCAGCTTTCTTCTCTACCACTAAGTATGGTATGTACAATCCTTCCATTAGTGCACACTGAATACTGCATTTTGATAATTTCCATGTCTGTATGCACCACTAACATGAGTTCCTCCAAGGTGTGTGGGGGGGGGTCACATTCCTCACAGGATTTACTCAATTGTGTTTCCCCTGGATTTAACACAGTGCCAGGGCTTGTGGGTGTCAAGGAGTGTTCACTGAAAAATCAATTATAAATAAATCCTTTCTTCTGGGAACACAAGAGTAAGCAAAAAACTGCCAGTCAATGTAAATAATAAGAGAATAAAAGGGCTAGAGAGGTGGCTACAATGTAGAGCACCTGCCTAGCAAGCACAAGGACCTGAGTTCAATCCCCAGTACTGCCAAAAAAATTAAGAACAAGAAAATGAACTCTGATGTTACCATGGCATAAAGTATTATAAGCAAGGTAAAACAAATGAAGTCAGTGGAAATATGTAGGTGACTCATACTTTTAGCAAGGACATTCATGTGATTCAGAATTTAGAAGGAATTGACTATCTTCTCCCTGTCTCCGGCCCCAAACCTCCATCCCCAGATATCACCCTTACCAGTCTTTTCTGTGCACATTTCCAAGAAAGTATATGCCTATCATGTTGTCCTTTCCCTGCACGTGGTGACATAATTTATACACTCGCTGTTCCATACCTTGTTTACTCTAGATTACAACATAAATCAGGAAATCACTTCGTATCAGTACATAAAGACCCCCCTTGTTATTTGCGAAGATTACTATTGTTTTCGTGTACCATAATATCACTCTACCAGACCCTTACAAGCAGACATTAGGATTATTAGCAACCTTTTGTAGCTACTTCTTTTCCGCTGGGGAAATAAACATCATGTGTCCATCATTTCTCCTAGGTATGTACATGTGTAGCTCAAAATCTTAGAGATGGAATTCATAGGCCATAAGAATGTGTAATTTAAATTTTTTTAGGCAGGGGGGAGAAATGAACCAAGCCTTGTATGCACATATGAATAATAAAAGAAAAATAAAAAATAAGATAAAATAAAATAAATTTTTTTAAATAATGTGTGATTTTGGCAGAAATAAATACCTTGCCATAAAAAGTTGTACCAATTTATACTTTCGCCAACAAACAATTGTAAGAATGATAATGATTTTTACCTTAGCCAGTCTAGTAGGTGAAAAATAGTACTCTAGTTTTAATCTTAATTTGCATGGTCTCCTAGTATAAGTGTAAGCTCAAGCATCTTTTCATATTGTAAGAGCTATTTACATTTCCTTTTCTGTGAAAGTTATCCTACTTTTCTTTTGAGTTTTAGTCTTTTTTCTTACTGATTTGTAGGAACTACTATTAAATTGGGAATTAACCCTTTTCTAGCTTTATCACTATTAACAGAGATCCAAAACCCACAATGGTCCTTTTTGCCTATGTTAACGCCTTAGAGCCTTTATTTGGGTCTTTAATATTACTCTCCAAATGAGAAACCTGGACCCTTAAAGGGTAGCTGATTCCATGTCTGTGGCAGGTAAAATACAGGCTAAGTCTGGAACATTCTGTTGTGACCAAAAGGTATGGTGGTTTCAAGAAGGTCACAGGCAGTACTGAAAGGGCAAGATGTCTTAATTAAAGGGGTTCTCACTAGCTAAACTCTGATATGCTGAGTAGCAAAAACAAAATAATAAATAGGGTAACTTGAAATAACTAAAATATATGGCTTAGAATTCTTCATGATGCACATAACGCAAAATTCAAAATTTCTCAAACAACAGAAAAATTATCTCAGGAAACAAGCCCATATGGTAGGTTGTTTAGGTCAATGACTCAACCACATTATCAAAGCTTTTTTGGGGGGGAGGGATTCTTTTGGGGTTTTCCCATCTTCCACTCTTCCATTCTTCATGAGTTAGTTCCTCCTTAGCTATTTCCACAGTGGCAGCAGAATGGCTGCTACCATCCAGAAATCCCATACAGATATGATGACATCCAGTGAGAAAAGGAAGACCATTTCTTCCTGTGTCTCCTTTTATAAGAGCAGGAAAAGCTTTCTCAGAAATCATACAGGATGCTTCCTGACAACCTAAAATAAGCTACACAGAAACAAGTTCTCCAAAACAAAGAATTTATTCAAAAATAGCAAGAGATTGTAATCCATGATACACAGGTATTGTGGACCATAAGCAGAAGCAGGGAAACAAAGGAAGACAAAGAGGTTTAAAGACAAAATAAGGAAGGTTCTATACATTTTCTGAAACAATTATCCCTGATAATAAAGATGGCATTCATCCAAGATTGAACAGGCAGCTCCTGGCAGACATCTTATTCAAAGGGACCTACACTAAAGAGGGATGCAGTTCAGCAGTCTCTCAAGAGAGTTCCTATTATCAAGCAAATGTGCCTGAGGACCCTAACTCCATGGCCCCTGCTCTATTTTGTTAAGGTTTGACACAAAAGACTCCATTTTGATTCTGATAACCTTCACATTCCCCTTACCTCTTTTTGGCCAAAACTGAATGCCAAGACTGAAACCATTAACAGGGCAAGGGAGATGGAAACACTGATTGTCTTAGCCTCATGAGGATTTTTGTCCTGCCTTATTAAGGATGCACAAGCAAACATACTTTCCCCCCACCCCCTCACATAAGGAAGAAGGTTGGGATAATGCCTTGGGACATAGGCACCCAAGAATGCCTGCTGTAATTAGTTTGAGAAAGGCTTGAATTCATAAAAATATTCAAAAGTTTACTGTAAGTTGTTACAAAAATGTATTATAACACAGAAGATAACAAATAATTCAGACTTTTGACAGTTGTACGTTTTCATAAGAAAGAATATTACTATATATGAACAGTGTGTTTCTTCAAAGTATACACCATTCATAACAAACAGATATTTGCTTATTTCCATTAGTAAATAGATAAAAACAGAGACCTGTTTGTGAGCCAACTAAATCTGAACAAATTGGAACTCTTCTAAAAACAGAAAGGTCCTTTTGGCACATGTGCTCACACATGATAGTCATGTAGAAAGGAGCTCAAAACACTTAATCAGCACTGGTGCCTACACTCCATGACCAAGGAGAAAGGAAGTCCTAAGGTTCTGCATTAGTCAAATGTGTTAAAATGGAATGCCAATGTGCAAACACCATCCTTCTCTCCCACAGATAATTCCACTGGATGTTTTGTTAGTCCTGAGAAGACATTAATGACACATGCGTGTGTTTTCAATAAGACTCACAAAGCAAGACAACAGGACCCATGCCATAATAACTGAACTCGGGGTTCCATATCTCTGGCCTAATGAATATGAAGGAGTGCTTCATTTCAGGGGAGAGACAGGTTGCAGAAACAGAAAACAACAGAGAGCAAACACTGATAAACTCACTCAGCCTGCAGAAGATTCACTGGAAAAATATAGTTCCTTGGAACAAAAGAACTTCACACCCCAGCCATGACTCAATCTGCTGTGAAAATGGATTTTATAGCCTCAGTAGATTGAGGATTGAGGACAGTAAGCATATACTTTGGGAGGTGTGGAGAAAGTCTGATAAGATTTCAATAATGCCAAGAAAACATTAAAAGAAATATTTTAACAAAATATTTTAAAACATATTTTAGCCAGACATAGTGATACATGCCTGTGGTTCCAGCTACTCAGCAGGCTGAAGCAGGAGGACCACTTGAGTCCAAGAGTTTGGGACCGGCCTGAACAACATAGTGAGACCCCATCTCTTAAAAAGAAAGAATGTGTCTTTTCCTAGGGAAAACCAAAAACAAGTAAAAACCAATGAAGTAATTAATTAAATCCACAGGATTGATGTCTTAAAACATATTTAAGTATAATTTGGGATTTAGTTTGTTTAAGATAGGCTCTCACTAAGTAGCCCAAGCTGCCCTCAAAAGATTCTCCTGCCTTAGCCTCCCAAATGCTGGAAATACAGACAAGTACCACCATACCCAGCAGATTTAAGTGCAATTACAATCTTGTGTTTGTGTTTGTTTCCTGCACTGTTTGAAGTAGAAGTAATGATCAAGACAGGCATGCATGAAAATGTCACAGTGAAAGCCACCATTTTGTACAATTAATATATGCTAATAAAAGAGAATCATTAGCAG